TAACCACCTCCTTAAATAAAGAATTTAATTAAAGATGCAATTGCAATAATGCATGAAACTGTTGAAGAGTTAAAAAATAAATAATTGATTGATAAAAATAATAATAAATCTATTGATTAATTGAATAAATAGATAAAAAAGATGTAGTAAGTAATGGGAGGATCAAATTAAAGTTATGATGTATTTACAACTCCTTAATCTAATATAAAAAAGATAGATCTATTTTTAAAACAATAGAGTGCTACATAAAAGAGAGAAATTAATTAAACTTCACCTTCTTTAAATTCTGAAAAGATTATTTAATTTTAGATTGATGAATTATCAATGAAAAATGATTAGATTTAAAAACTTAATTGGAAAATCAAGGATTAGGAATAATAAATAAAGATACTTACATAATAAATAGCTGAAATTAATTTGAGTTTACAAATTTCATAAAAATCACTTTAAAATAAAGAATCAGAGGTATCCATTTTATATGAAATATATTTTCATAGATGAAAGATCTAATAAAGAAAACAGACAAATTATTAGAAACTACCAGTCAAGCTATTAAAGATAAGGAGGCATATCAAAATACATATAAATCAATTAAATAGGATCATGATCAATTAAAAAATTTATTTGATGATTTGTATGAAATATATTTATATATATTATTTTAGGTAAAAAAGTAACTAAAGTATAATACAAGAATATCATGTTTTAAGATAATCATAAAATGATTCTTAAGATTCAGATATGTAAAAATATAAATAAGATGATGAAAGATTTAAATAAGATCGTGAATTATTGGATAAAAATAATATAATTGTATAAAAATATTTATATTTATATAATAGAAATAATTAAAAGAAGATGGATTATTATTAGGTTCATAATTAAAAGAAATTTCTAATAAAATTATGTAAATTTCACCAGATTTGTTACCAAAATCATTGTAATAATTATAAAGAGATTTATATTTACAAGAAAGTAAAGTAAATTAAAAATTAAATAATATTTAATATGTTTAGATAGAATAAAATAATAAATAAAATAATACATAAAAAGTTTAATAGAAATAAATGATGAATTAAAATTAATATTAAAATTAGAATTAATAATTTGAGCATCAGCTAAAATCTATAAAAAATCATTCAGATATTATGACAATGATTTTAATTTAATGTGAAGTGATTGAAAAATTTATTAATTGAATCATTATTATTATTATTATAATTCATAAATTTATACATATGCCTCACTTACACTAATAAGTTAAGGTACAATATTTTATTTATGTAAATCTTAAATTTAAAACCATTAATTATTTGCTTCATTTTTTACATGTATTTTATAAATTCCCACTTTTGCTGTTCCTTCATGACAAATATTAGCTATTAAATTATATTTTACATTTTATTATTCTAAATTTAAACCTAAAATAATATGTATATAATATTTATACATTAACTCAAATCTAAATCATTTAATGGGAATGTAACAATAGTTGGGTTCTTTTCCATAAAGAAATTATTTTTTATGAATCTTTTCATATGTATAATCATATATCTAAAAATAAAAAGAAGATAATTACTTTGGAAACTTTGTTATTGTATATCTTCTTCTACCATCAGCACTGTCAGTATTAGTGAAGCCATCATATTTTTTAATTAACTCTTGAATCGATATACTTGGAATCAAAGCTTTTTAACTACCATCTTTTTAAAGTGGAGTTGAAGGTAGATCTAAAGATAGATAACTAAGAAATATAATAATAAATATATTTACAAGAATGATTTTTATTCAATTATTGGAATTGGTTAATATCCAATAGCATTTTTAAGAGGTTTATACCATTCATATTATAATTCCCCTTGAAAACAATCAGAAATTATAGTATTAATTTTATTAATATGTAATAATTCTTTTTTTAGATTGTCTAAAAACCAAATAATTAAATGCATTGGATCTGATTATTATCCAATTTTGAATTATTTATTGCTTTTAAGAGTGACAGCTTATAACAATTCATGAGGACTTACATGTCCTTTGTAATTACGAGGATTCCAAATTTTTCTTGTTAATTCTGAAAATCTTTATGATAGAAGACAATTATAATCAAAAGGTTCTGTTGCACTCTTTTAGAATTGTAAAAAAATCATAAAATTTCTTAATGGTTTAATACGACATAAGGCTTGCATAACAACATTGAAATAATCTGATTTGCTTAGATTATTTAATCCTACAAACCCTGGAAGAAATGTAGTTCCATCTAAAGCTCTAGATTCTTCTATATTATCATCTAATTCTTTAAGATTATTAAATTTAGGATCTAAATTATATTGAATATCTTCAAGTGAATGATCAACAACTTCATAATTATCTGGTAAACAATATATTTTAGTATTTTGAAGATTCATAAATAAATGATGATCTTATTCAAGTGAATGAATATATGCTTATGTATTAATTGATTTGCCTTAATAATATTTCCCACAAATAAGACAAGCATATACATTAAGATTTGAAAGAGTTACGGAGCATAATTTTTCAAAATCAAAATCAAGCATGTGTCTACAAATAGTGGCTATGTATGGACATTATTGGTTGTATTTAACCTTTTTCTTGATTTCGTCTATCATTTAATAATTTAATTAATTAATTCATGAGTTCGGAAGAAGAGACCCAATAATCGTTGTCATACAAAGTGCACAAATCAACTTTGAAATGGGCACCAGTGTTCAATATGACAATTCTATTATCAATAGCAATAATCTCTTGTTTGATAAGAGTGTTCTCAGTGATCAGATATGAGTCAATCATTCATGAGTTCGATCCGTGGTTCAATTATAGAACAACCCAATATTTAGTAAAGGAGGGTCCTTATGCTTTATGGAATTGGTACGATTCAGAATCTTGGTATCCTCTTGGTAGAAGTGTTGGAGGCACAGTGTATGATATAAATCCTATTAAAAAGATATCCAGGTTTAATGATGACTTCTGGTATGATATATTGGGTATTACACAAATTGTCCATTCCAATTGATATTAGAAATGTCTGTGTATTCTTGGCACCAATCTTTTCAGCATTTACAAGTCTAGCAGCATATGGAATGACAAAAGAGATAACAAAGAGATCAGAGGCAGGATTATTATCAGCTTTATTTGTAGCCATTGTTCCATCTTACATGAGTAGAAGTGTTGCAGGATCTTATGACAATGAAGGAGTATCTATCTTTGCCCTTGTTTTCACATTTTATACTTTCCTCAAGACTGTCAATACAGGATCCATCTTATGGGGTGTCTACACAGCTTTAGCGTAATATATATATATAATATTGAATAGATTTTTCTATATGGTGGCTTCTTGGGGTGGATATGCATTCATTATTAACATCATACCAATTTTTGTTCTATTTTTGTTAATAACAGGACGTTCCAATTAGAGAATATAAGTGGCTTATAATGTTTTCTACATATTAGGAACATTGTTAGCAATGTAAATTCCCTTTGTTGGATTCTAAGCATTACATTCATCTGAACATATGGCATCACATGCAGTTTTCCTTTTGATTAACTTTTTAAACTTTTTCAGTTGGATACGTAATTTTGTAAGCAAAAAAGCCATCATAACACTTACTAAATTCTTAGTAGTCTTTTTAGTGTTCTCCATTTTGGTGGGAGTTGTTATCCTTACTTTAGCTGGTAAGACATAATGGAGTGGTAGAAGTTTGACATTACTTGATCCAACTTATGCAAAGAAATACATACCTATTATTGCTTCTGTATCAGAACATTAAGCTACTACTTGGTCATCCTTTTTCTTTGATTTACATTATTTGATACTCTTTTCACCAGTAGGATTATATTATTGTTATTACAAACCAACTGAAACTAAAATATTTGGTGCTCTTTATACAGTCCTTGGAGTTTATTTTGCATCAGTTATGGTCAGATTGCTATTGGTTCTTGCACCCGCAGTAAGTATTATGGCTGGAATAGGAATAAGTTGGGCATTCAGAAAATTTGCTAAATCTGTTAGATCATTTATATTACCAAAAATAGAAAAACCTAAAAAGTATAGGATACCTCCAGAAATATCAATTATTGGTTTAGTATTATTAGGTTACTATTGTTCTATTTATGTTCTCCATGCAAATTTTGCTGGTTCAGAAGCTTATGCATCTCCATCCATCATTCTTTCCAGTAGAGATAGATAAGGAAACAGAAATATTATAGATGATTATAGAGAAGCTTATTATTGGCTTAGAATGAATACAAAAGCTGATGATAAAATTATGTCTTGGTGGGATTATGGATATTAAATTACAGGAATGTCTAATAGAACAGTTTTAGTTGATAATAATACATGGAATAATACACATATTGCTACTGTTGGTATGGCAATGGCTTCATCAGAAGAAGATGCCTTTGAAATTTGTGAAAAATTGGATGTTGATTATGTTTTAGTGATATTTGGTGGTATTTTGAATTATTCAGGTGATGATATAAATAAATTCTTATGGATGGTTAGAATTGGTGGAGGAGTTTATCCTCATATTAAGGAAGAAGATTATTATGGAAAAGGAACTTATAGAGTAGATTAATATGCAACAGAGACTATGACAAATTCACTTATGTATAGACTCAGTTATTATCGTTTTGATGAAGTTTAAACAGCATATGGTTAACCTAAAGGTTATGATACTGTTAGATAGGCTGTGATAGGAGTAAAAGGATATAAGTTGAGACATTTTGAAGAAGCTTTTACTTCAGAAAATTGGATTGTCCGTATATTCAAAAGAAAATAAAGAGAAAATAGGTATTATATTGTACTAATTATTTTAATAGAGATGGAGTAGCATTTACTTCTAAATAAACCTCATAATTTACGATTCCTAAAGAAACTATTCCAGTTACAAAGTTTTCTAAAAAAGCAAACATTAAATAGAGATTTACCCTAAATTTTAATGAGTGATTTTATGTATATTCATAAATATTAGATCAATAATTCTTCATATTTTGTATGGATCAACTAATTTAGTTAGATTTATTCATATTCTATTTATAAACTTTATTTTAGTCTTCCAAAGAATTCTTTTAATTCTTCTTTTTCACTCTTTTTTAAAAACTTTTTTATTTATTGCATAAAATCCTTTATTTTTACTAATTCATCTAAAAATCCAACAATAAAACTCAATTCTTTTCCATCCTTTAAAGTAGAAATTGAATAATCAAAAACTTCTAATATTTTAAAAAAATATTCAATATGAAAATCAATAGAAAATATTTTCTTGATATTATCTTGGCTTTACATTTATAAAATACTAATTATTTATATATTATATATATTACTTCATTATTTCAGCATAATTTTCTTATGTTAATGGTTTTGTATAATGTTTAGAGAATAAAGTTCTAAAATCTCTAAAATTTTTGCATTAAATTTCTTTGATGTTTAATTGTAATTGAATTATATCTTCTTAAGTAGGTTATTAATATTTTTGAAAAGATGAATTGAAAATTTTTTCATTATTTGATTAACTTAATCCAAAATTTGCTAATTCTTTCGATTTAATTGTATAGAGATTTGCTCCTAATACCATTTATCTAAATCCTTCATAATCATGATGATAAATAACTGCCTTCTTTTTTGCTGAATCAACATTTATTCTTTAATGTTCAATATCAATTTCTTTTTAGAATTCTTCTCTTATATTTTAACAAGTTAATTGCATATCCTTCTCTGTTAACTTTTTTTCTGGATTTCCTCCGTACATTAAATTAATAAAATTACTTATAATTAATCAATTATTATTTTTATTATGAGTTAATTAGGCTAAGGTTGGAGTGGACAAATGTGTTTGAAATCATAGGGAGATTTAATTGAATAACTATAGCCTGAATCAGATAGAGAAGAATAGATGATTGGAGTTTTATCAACTGAGGAAAGTAAGATTTTCAAGAAACTGAGATTTAACTCGAAAATATAAATTTTAGATGAAAAGATGAAAAAGCCATAGAAACTATATTTTTATTCAATTCTCAAAAAAAGATAATAATTTTGATAGTTTGGATGAATCAGAAGAATTCTAAATACATCTTTTTTTAAAGTTAGTTTTATCTCGATTTTCCAAACAATTATTCAAGATTTGCTGTGGCATTGACAAATATGCTTCTTGGTGTAATTTTTGATAATTTCTTTAATTCTAACATGTTGGCATTTTGATTTGCAATATTGAATACCATCAAATCAACCTAATTCTTTTCAAGTAATTGTTTTAGTTTTTCTTCTTACTTCTAACACATATGTTTATTAACTAAAAGATAAATAGAAAATAGTACTTTCTGTGAAAATACATATAAATTTATATCTACTTCTAAAATCATATTACTATTGATCATTATTGTCCTCACTTTTACCATTAAAATTGACATTATTACCATTTTTAAAAAATTGAATATCATCATTATCAGATTCAGTATCTTATTCTCCTTCAGTTTAGGATTCATTGAGTCTAAAACATAAAGAAATATTTTACTTTTATTTAGGATCATCATTATTAGATAAAGGTGGAAATTATGATTATGATAAATCTTATTCATTCTCTTCATGAATTGTGAAATTGTTGCACTCTTTTTTTTAATTACTTTTTTGATCATCAGATTTACAGTTGGTTTTATTAGCATTCGAAATATTGATTTTATGTTCAAAGAAGTTTTTCACAGCAAATCTTAATGCTTAATATAATCTAGAGTTTCCTCCAGGTGCAGTAATGGCCATATACAATTATTTATTTAATAGATCCTTATAAGTTCCTTTAGGTTAAAGAGGAAAGGCTTCATGAAGAGAATTATTGAAACCATACATTCCTATTAAATCTTAAGGTTAGAGGATAGAAAATATTTTAGTGCAAATACTATGAGATAGATTGATTTATTCAATATTCATTTCTTTGGAATAATCTATCATGAAAACAATCTCATAGACATTAATAGAAATCTAATTCCTAAATTATTGAATTGGTTATGGAGAAATGTTAAATAATTTAAATATCTTCTCCAAAACCATTAAACAAAAGTCTCTAACTTCAGGATCATAATAATCACCCATTTCTATAATTTCTGTTAAAATTTCAGCTGCAGTTTTAAAGTTTCCTCTCAATAATTAATATATAGCCTTAAGTTATCTTATTTTAGAAAATAAAACTTCTTTAGGTACATTTTTAAACATATCAACAAAGTTAAAGTCTTATTCTTCATTTTATTAGGCTTATTCAAGATTTGCATTATCTTAAATTAATTTATTATAATATTCTTCTGCTTTTTATTCTGAAAGTTAAAAATTACTAATATCACCAATTTGAATATAACATAAAGCTTTTTTTACATGCAAATTGATAAGTCTAACAATTTTAGATTATGTAAATCTTTAATCTTTTTCTGCAGTAGCTTCAAAATCAGTAAATAATTTTAATGTTTCAGGAATAAATACATCAGAATATTACATACATATGTTAAACATAAATTAGGCCAACTAAAATTATCTATTTAATAATTTAGCCTTTGCCAATTTCTTCTTTTTTGTCAATTCAGATAATTTCTCTTTTATCATTTATAATTCTGACATCTATACATCACTAGATCCAGAATTATTTCTTTCTCTTTCTTCTAATTGATTATTATTCTATTTATCTTCATAATTTATAATGCTTTCTTTCATATCCAATCTTTAACTCTACATTATACTACTTTAATTATATGATTAACCTAAATATTTAGATCTGTTGTTGCTAACATTAGGAGAAAGTTATGGTGAATAATAATTTGAATTTTCTTAATCTACTTAATTTATTGGTTATAATCCTTTTTTTGATTCATTTAAACTTTTCTCATATGTTAAAGTTCTTTTCTTTTTATTGATTGGAGTTGTTACAGAATTAACTGCAACACTTGCTAATTGAGTATTTTTACTAGAACAACTAGATTAAGGATTTATTAAAGCCATATGTGGAATATTTTTTGAATGTATAACTGTAGTAGATATATTTTTAGAAGTATTTGAAATATTTTTCTATCTTTAAGATGAAGATATAGCTTTCATTTATGTATTAGTTTCATTTTTCTAATCTTCTTATTATTTCTTTTAAATTTTCTTTATCCATGTAATTTCAATCTATTATCTGAACTTATTTGCAAGTCCTTTAAGTTTTAATCTTAAATTTTGATATAAATTTGGTTCCTATAAAGCAGCCATCATAGTTGTACACCATTTCTTTAATTCTTTAATTTCCATTAATTCTAATTTTGCTATATAGATAGCTTCTTCCATTTCATTAACTGCTTCGAATACTCTTCCTCCTTTCATATGTAAAATTCCAATATTATTTGCACAAATACCTACAGCACTCATATTACCAATTTCTTTCTTGTAAAAATCTTTAGCTCTACTTAATTCCATTAAAGCTATTGCATCAGAATGTTTCGAGTTAGAATACTTTTAATTCGAGTATTTAATTGTTGTAACAAATATATTCATAGTTTAGAATAATGATTTAATTTCAAATGAATTAAAATAGTCTTAATAATTTATTAATTCTTCTTCTTGATCCATATTTTAGATATCTATACTATTCATGAATTCAGTTAATACTTTAATAGGCTATTCAAAAGATAATCCTATTCTAGTTGCAGTATACCAAACAAATAAAAATATAACAACAGACAATACAATAATTACAATTAGAACAATAATTTCTAAAATTCTTACATTATTTAAAGATGTTCCTTCATATAATTCTTGTATCAATACATTCTCTTCAAAGTAATGGATCAATATAAATGTTGGCATCTTAAAATCATTAACTTCAGGTTCAATATAAACATACCTTCTTCCATTTTCAGGAGCAGTGACAATAGATACCCTTTTGGATGATGTAGTTACTACTTCTGAAAAAAGCAAATAGAATTTGTATGATCCAAAGGAATATATTAATTATGTACTATTAAGTGTATCATTTGTTCTTAATTCTTTGATTTTATCATAAATAGGAGCATCCATCTTTGAAATCAATTCTGTATAAGATGAATTACTTAGTTATTTAGTCTCATTAATATATTATACAATTGCTTAAGTGACATTCCTATCAGAATAGTTTTTGGGAGAAAGTACTGTATATTCTTCATTTATGATAGCAACAAATAATTGATGTTCTTATTCACCTTAAGATTAGTGTTATTATAGATGTCTAGTTGTTAAATCCTCTAAATAAGAATTAAGCACTTTTGCAGTCATGTAACATTTTGTAGTATCAGTTTGATGAACTATTTATGTCAAACTTATTGAAGGCCCACTTGTAAATTCATCTGTTCTATCATATTTCATTGTGAAGTTTAATGTAGGATCGAGTGACATAGGAATCTCAGGTAACCATTAAGAAACATTGAAGCCAGTAAGTTTTTATTATTGAACTTCAGTAAACTAAGGAAAGCGGATAACGAAAGAATCAGTGCAATGTATCATAGTTGCAGCATAGTTTATTGGAACAAGTGCTTCAGCATCAGACGAAGTATCACTTGTTGTATTTAAATTTAGGTCTTGTTTAAGGGACCGAGTGTTACTAAAGTGTAAAATTAACTTATTACTTTATTATTATATCAGACAATATGAGAGATTAGGCAGCCTTAGTTAGTTGAAAATATAATTAAGGACTTTAGTTTTACAATTCAGTCAAGGTTTAATATTTAGAATGTGACCATGCTATCTTATAGTCTTGGGAATCCTTCTTTGTTGAAGTAAATGCATTTAGACTCAACTATTTATCATCCAAAGTCCTAAATAATCTTAATTTTCATGTTTACCAGCTTGAATAATTTTGGAACTCACCAAAACAATAATGTCTTAAATGGGCACTCACTCCGAATATCTAATTAAAGTAAGCTTAGTATTAGATATAGATTTCCTAATAAATTTTTATGCTCTTTTACTTGCTCTATGATATTCATTTCAATTTAAAGACCATTCAAGTGTCTGTTTATATGAAAGTCTAGCAGTGAATCTTGAAAACTAGGGATACTCACAAAACCCAACAAACCTACTTATAACACTGCTAACATAAGAATAAGAATGATTGGTATTAGAATAACCAACAGAATCTAGTTCTTTAGTTCCATTAAAAAATAAATATTCAAAATCTTTATATTATTTTCTAATTAAAATGCCTCCAGGGAAGCATAAATCAAAACTAAAATCAGCCAATGCTCCTGTTACTGTCAAACATCAACCTATCCCACTCTTCTTATCTAGGTACTTCTTTCCTATACCCTACTCTTTAGATAACCATCTCGTGTTGATGGCCAACCCATATCCAATTAATAATACAATACATAGCTATCCAGGTATTTATTAATTCTGTTATATAAAGACAACCTTCATCATCCCAAATATAGGACCATCTTGACATTGGGGATATTCAATTTAACACAAGGAAATTCAATGTTACACTCATGGTCTAATAAGAAAACAAAATTTATAATCTAGGTGATATCAATTGCAAACTCACAGATGATAATAGAGTATGGATTTTTGATCTTATCAAAACACTCAAAGAAATGCAAATCGATGCAATAGATCATCTCAAAAATAGCACCATTTAAATCTTAAATGAGGAAGAGACATAAAATCTAGGTATATTCTCTAATCTATTAGTTAATCATTCACTTTATACACCAAATTTGGCTGTATATGAGAACCTTGGTGTTGAACCTTTGAATTAAGACA